CCGATGAGTGGACAAGTGTGACCCAAGATGGCTCTCTGACTGCGCAGTTTGGTAGGCTCTCACCCATTCGTCCAAATATCCTTTTCAGAACTAACATTGTACAGAACACACCCTACTCGTGACCGAGGATGGCGTAGAGGTTTTGACTGCGCGACTACCAGACTCGCCCGGCGGTCCAGTACAGATGCCGGGAACCACAAACGGAGAGACGAATGGCGAAGCAAAAGCAGCTGCTTAAAAGAAAATTTGGGAAATTTGGGATCACACATAGCTTCACGATACCACCATCACTAATGGATTGCGTGGCGTGGGTCGAGAAACGGGGCGTTGCTTTACTTGGCAATTGACAGATGTGGTGGACTGTTTCCACAGCATTGATCGTGATAATCTGTGTAGCAGTACAAATGGCTGGAATTTATGTGTCTGCGCATGATGTTTCGTTTTGTTTCGTTTCGGCGAGCAGTCTGAACCACCGTGAAATCATCAATCTTCCGTTAAGCTTCGGTCGGACGATGTTGGCCCGCTCATCGCACACCTGCAAGCGAGGCGAATGACGCTAACGGTGCCTGCCCGCTGTCCAGGGAAGCAATCGTGTCTCCGCCTCAACGTCATCCAAACATCTTTGCCCAACTCCCGCCAGAATTTGAACGACCTTGCTAGCCGCCGTTGCTCTTCAGGATTCTATTATCGCCATACGGTCGTGCAGATCCACCACCCACCCACGTCATCGCAACTTCTAGCTAGGCCCCGCGCACAAGCTAGCTTCCCGCGTTCTAGCTCGGCAGCCTGCAAACACACGACCGCATCCGAGTCCTGAACATCTGTCGTCTATCTGTCCATTCGCAAACAACAGCCTACTGGCGATATAGCTAGTCTATCTTCCACCTTCTTCATACGCTATAGCCGTGCTACGCAGCACACGACTCTTTCACAATGACTGGCGAAGCATGGTTGTACCTGTTGGCGGTGCTGATAAACGCCGTCAACCTGTTCCTACAAGTCTTCTTTACTATCATGTACAGCGATCTGGAATGGTAAGTGAGCCCCAAGCATACGACCCCATGGCATAGCCTCCTTTGCGACACAACCTGTACCTTGATCAGCACATGCTAATTTTGCGCCAGCGACTACATCAACCCCATCGATCTCTGTAACCGCCTGAACACCTACATCATCCCCGAAGCCGCTGTCCACGCCTTCCTGACCTTCCTGTTCCTCATCAACGGATACTGGATTGCGCTGATTCTGAACCTGCCTCTATTGGCCTGGAATGGAAAGAAGTACGTCACAAACCAGGGCTATGACATGGAAATAGGACAATGCTGACAGTAACAGGATCTTTGAGAACCAGCATCTTTTGGACGCGACGGAGATCTTCAGGAAGCTCAACGTGCACAAGAAGGTACGATAAGAGGGTATACTGAGTCCAGGAAGCCAGGCTAACACGCATGCAGGAATCCTTCATCAAGCTGGGTTTCCACCTGCTCATGTTCTTCTTCTACCTCTACAGCATGATTGTCGCCCTCATCCGTGACGAGTCTCACTAGGTGGGGATCACGCCCTTCGTCTTGATTGTGGGGATCTTTGTGGCTGTACTGGTTGCAGTGAACCTCGAGGCACGAATTCAACAGCGGTTAGAGAACGGCGGATAGATGCACTTGATATCCGGCTCAGATAGACGAGCCACGCGTACGCATATTGCTAGCGGGAGGACATGAATAGTTGTTGGGTTGAGATAATGTGGAATACCCGAGGCAATGGGTTTGGCGGCAGGAAGCGCATACAGGAAAGGATTGAACGATTTTATGTCCTGATGGGGTATGATAGCGTTATGTTAGCTCTCGTAAATGGAACCCAGTTTTCACATGTAACACTGCGCATCCTACGCATTACATAGTGAACATGGTCCGTGCGTCGTCACCCACATTTTCTAGTGAGCTGGGAGCTTCCAACTTCAACACCGTACTTGTCACTCCTCGCGTTCCACCTCTTAGTCTTTCCAACCACCAATATCGGAGTCGTCGCCGAGATCTAAACGCGCCGCGACCCTATTCCGGCTCCCAAAAACATTTACCATGGCAGCCGGAGGCTCAGGCCGCGTGCCAACCGGATTCGCTGCAGAGACATACATCAGCGACCATACTTTCCGTCAAGGCCAGCGTGCTATCGAATCAGGCGCGGGATCGAAGAAAAGGAAGCGAGAGGGCAAGGGCGACTCGAGTGTTGTAACTGGCGCTGGCGCATACAAGGGACCCTGGGCGAAGTATGAGGAAGAAAGGCCAGACGCTGCCTCAGATGACGAGTTTGGATCGGATGTCGAAGTAGAGATAGTCTACGAGGAAGACGAGATCGTCGACAATGCTGCACCCGTGCAAAAGAAGCTTGCTGGCACGGACTACCGCGATACCGAAGCCGAAGGCGAGACGAGCGAGTTTGTCGGCAGCCAGCAATACGACTACCAGGGACGGACGTATATGCATATCCCCACGGATCTCGACATCAAACTTACCGGCGATTACGAGCCTAAGAGTTTCATACCGAAGAAGCTCATTCACACCTACAAATACCATACCAAGTCGATTACCCAAGTGCGCTTCATACCTGACAGCGGTCATCTCTTACTCTCCGCTTCGGCCGATTCGAAGATCGCACTATGGGACGTGTACCACCAACGCGAGCTTCTGCGAACCTACTCGGGCCATACCAAGTCGGTGGTTGACATTGACTTCAATCCCAGTGGTACACAATTCGTATCCGCCAGTTACGATCGTTATATGAAGCTATGGGACACAGAGACTGGAAAGTGCTTGAACAAGTTTACAACTGGAAAGACACCGCATGTCGTGCGCATCAACCCTAGTACACCACACGAGTTCCTGGCCGGTATGAGTGACAAGAAGATCCTACAATACGACACAAGAAGCGGAGAGATGGTGCAAGAATACGATCACCATCTCGGACCTGTCAATACTATTACCTTCTGCGATGAGAACCGCCGTTTCATCACCACATCAGACGATAAGTCCTTGCGCGCTTGGGAATACGGTATTCCTGTACCCATCAAGTTCATCGCCGAACCTTACATGTTCTCTATGGTCCGCTCCTCACCACATCCGTCAGGCAAATACGTTGCCTTCCAATCGTCCGACAACCAAATCACCGTATACAGCTCTACGGACCGCTTCCGACAAAACCGAAAGAAGAGTTACCGAGGGCACAACGTGGCTGGATATGCTCCAGATGTGGCGATCAGTCCTGATGGGCAGTTCATCAGCTCTGGCGACAGTGGAGGCTACCTGTGTTTCTGGGACTGGAAGACGTGCAAGATGTATCACAAGATTGCGGCGAGCGATGCGCCTGTGCTGTCAGTACAGTGGCACCCTAGGGAGACAAGTAAGGTGGTTGCTGGTGACTTAAATGGTGTCTTGAAATTGTACGATTAGACGGGGAGATTGAAGGAGCGGATATAGCGATACCCTAATGCATTCGGATACCAGTTGATGATCATCTTAACTCCATCGGCGATGTTAACTCCATCGGCCCGCATAACATTTCCCTGGCTTGACGAGCAACCCAGAATGCAGGTGTAGGATGCTATGCCTCCACTTTCTCGCTGACCACACGCTGGCAAAACAAGATACCCAATCTACACAGCCCACTGTTCTGTGTATGGGCCGCATAGTTGGCGAGACGTTCGGTCTTGCGCCTCCCGTTCAGGACTTCTCCAGCGGTTCACCGGCTATGCGCTGGCAAACCTCAGAACAACATGCGCGCTTGCGCAATTCGCAGCCGCGCAATTGCCACCTTCATAAATGTCTCTTTCGAGTTAGCAATGACAATTTGCCACGTGAATGGCGTTAAGCCTGGCAGCAGCCTTGGCCAGGTTGATTGCCATTCGCAGCCCAGCGACCCCGCCATGTATCAGCGACCTTCGACTGCGCCTTCCCCCGTATCTCACAACACCGCCCTTTGCCTCTTCGTCTCTTGTTTTTTCCCAATCATATGCGCATTTCTCCCATCTTTGGCCGCCGTCGATATACTCCTATGATGCTGTATTGCGGTGAACACTTCGCAATTCTGCCAATGGCTCCAGGCATCCATCTTTCCCTCAGCCCCCACACCCATTCTTCTTTCGGCACCGGTGACTTTTTTGTTCACCAGTTTATCCGCTTTGTCATTATCCATTCCTGGCATCGCTGTCGCCTAGGGCTCTGTGCACGTCACTTGATAGCGCGTCTCGGACTGATTCCTTGCTGCCTTCCCATACGTTCGTCCTGCTTGACGTGCCATGCAGGAGAAGACGGCGTAACACAACCACCCTACTCATCACCCAAGTCATTGACTCCGCCCTTTCTAGCCGCAACGCGGCTTTAGCTCACCCCGACCGAACTGGTTTCTTCGGTGAACTCACACACACCGGCGATGACTCTTCTTCTTGGCAGATCGAGCAGGTGCCAAAAAGGGCTGCCTAATCGCTGATTCGCTCCCTACGCGTGTCCTGCCTCAGGACCTGTCCCGAGGGAACATAGCCACGCGTGTGAATCATCGCAATCGCGCAGTCATCCACGTCGTTCACGCGCCTGGCCCAGCTATCCAGGCAACGGCGTTACATTGAGCGTAGGAGAGCTCCGATGGCAGCGGAACAATAGTCAATAGTACGAAAGGTGAGTCTTGTAGAGTGGCGGCCTCAGGTTTTGTCTGCCTGGAATAAATAGTTGTGAGGTTGGTGATTGCTTTCTTTCTTCTCTCTATCAGTCAATCGATCAAACAATTGTTCAGTCTACAGTCATATCAAGCATCTTTGAAAGAGTCAGCTGTTCTTGTGTGGTCTTAATCAACAGTACACCTTCGTCACACCCACGATACGCCCTTACCGTCTCGTATATACCCAAATCCAGCTTCATCGCCGTCAACCACATTCTATACGACGATCACTCATCCCATCCTTCTGGTCGTCACTGGCCACTGAACGCCTCCAAGTCGCTCAACACCAATCAACGATGTCGTCGAGCTCGTCTTACGGCTCCTACGGTCAGGGAAAGGGCGCCTATGCATCCCGCCCCTCGACTTCATCTACATGTACGTTGCCTGCGCCTATCAGAGCATGTCTCAAAGATGAGTCTAACATACCTGCAGCCTACTCTGCCGCTTCCTCGAGCCTATACACAAACTCAGGTAGCTCGTCACGCAGCAAAGCGTACAGCAAGCCACCCATCATTCACAATGGTGGTGGTCAGATCTACGACCCGAACACGTCGACGTCCGCGCCAAATGGAGGATACTACAAGTAGGCCAAATGCTGATGGCCTGGTGTTGACTCCTGTCTTCAGAGACAGCATGATGTCATTTCGTGGTCGTGGTGGTTACAACTTTCCTTCGGGGTGATTGACAGGTCATGGCGTTCTGGTGAGGGTTTTCTCTTTTAGATGGCTGGCTTCGGTGCCTGGAGCGATAACAAACTGTTTGGGATTTTTAGCTCAGCGTTTGTTGAGCGTTGTTAATATTTCCTTCTTGCTGGCTGGTTGAGGTCCTTTTATTGGGTTGCATCTCCCCTACTCATCTCCTTCGGAATGAGCTGTAGCTAGCACTTGTACAACAGATAGTCAGAATAATGCGCAATCGCATCGTATTCATTGCCTCATCTTCTACGACCAGGACACGATTAATGTCAAGCTTCATTCGAAAAGGTAGATTGTTGTCTGTACTTGAAGCAGATCCCACAAAGAGGTCAAGCAGCGCAATATAGTCTCTGATGAAGTGACTAGACCTTTTACTGTGTAACGCAAGACGTCAAAGTACATCTAGATGCACCAGATAATAGCTACCTGCATTAAGAACAATGTCTGTTATATAAACTTAAGAAGCTAGTATATAGCAAAAAGACTAGAGCATTGCCCTTATGCTACAGGGCAAAAAAAGACGGGTCTTACCGCGACTCGAACGCGGGGCCTCTCGCAAGCTGTGCTTGGGTTTGTGTTCTAATAGAACGTCCCTAAGCGAGACTAGGAAGATGTTAGATGATGAAGAATTGTCTTGAGATTGAATAATACGTACATCATACCACTAGACTGGTGTTTGTTAGTTGGTGTAAGAGCTGAATGGGTGCTGTGACCACATACCCATAAGACCGTATTGCTTTTGATGGCGTTTTGCTTCCCACGACCCAAATATATAGTCGGAACTCTCAGTGTCCAACGGCTCCATACCAACCCAGGCCCAGAACAGCACCAACGATGATCGCCACAGCAGGTGGGACCCCAAACCAAGCCGTTTCCGCGTAGGCCAAGGCAGCCACGACGACCCACCACGGCTCGTCCGCCAAACTCCTCCCGTTACTACTTTCTGGCGTCAAGTAACCAATTTCCCAAAGCCTGTAAACAGCCGTGAAGACTAGTCCCACAGCCGTCGCATTGATGCCCCTCAAAAGACTGAGTACCCATGCTTTGGTGCGCATGACCTGCCAAATAGACTGCACGCCGACTGCTAGCACGATGCCGGGGAAGAAGATGCCGATGAAACCAAGAATGGCGCCTACGATGGTTGGCGTAGAAGTGGATGCTGAAGCGATGCTCAGAGCGCCGAGGTATACTGCGAAATTGAAATTGGGGCCAGGGAAAGCTTGGATAATAGCCAAACCGAGGAGGAAGTCCCGTGGTGAAACCCAACCTGGGTCTACGACATAAGAGCGCAGGAGGGGAATCACTACAGGGCCGCCACCGAAGATTATGGTGCCGGCGAGATACCTATCCGGTGCGATTAGTGGGAACTCTAGGGAGCTTTATGATGAACTTACATGTTGGAGAAGAGATTGAATGACCGGCCGCTGGATACCGTACCGCGGATAACCATAATGACAACGAAGGAGATCAGGAAGCCCACGATTAGTGACGCGCCAACCTTTACAGAAATGTTATGCGTCTTGACATCCGCCACAGGTGCAACTGTCTCGGCATCGTTCTTCGCAGCCACATCATCAACAACTGGGTGTTCACCAGCATGACTCCTTCCCGCCTCTTCTCGCTCAGGCACAATCCGATCTGTTGAGCTTCCCGCCCTCTGTCTCCTCTTCACAGCCTCCGGACGCGTAAGCTCAATAGGAATGCTCTGTGTTGTAGTCTGAACCTCCTCCGCATCACCTTGTTCGTCTCTCGCTCTCCTCCTTTTAGCAAGGTACGCAGCTTTCATCTTACCCACACGCTGTCTCAGCCAAACATCCCAAGTCACAGTTGAAAGACCACCAATGACGATTAATACAGGGAAGTACCATAGCGCATTATAGCACAGACCCGCACAGCCACCAAAGATCACTAGAATGCGTGTAAGACGGTCTTTGATGGCCTTCTCGGATAATTGAACAGCCGCTAGTGCGATGATGCCAACAGTACTGGCGTTCAGTCCGGAGAGCAGGGCGTATACAATGGGAGGGAGACGTTCCGGCATCTTCTGTACGCCGAGCGAAAGCCCATACATACCGATTGCGCCAGGAAGGCTCCAGAGAAGGAAGGCGAAGACGGCGGAGAGGATGCCTGCATGTAGGAGGGCGATGCAGAAACACATTTTAGTTGAGGCTGGACCGGGGAGAGCCTGACATATTGCGAAGAGTTCTTGGTACTATGATCAGGAATATCAGCAATGCATACTCTCTGGTGAATGGGATACAAGTAGGTGAGAAAGATGTCTCTTCGTCTTCACCTTCTGCTTCTCATCCGCACTCGTCGAGCGCCACCAGCTCTCTCTCATACTGCCTACTTGCAACGCTGGAAATGGTATCAATCACACTGCTCGTTATACACTTACAGTCTGTTCGTCTAACCATTTACTTCCACCTTGAAACCCCAACCCCTCGACGAATCTCCGATGCAAGATCTGGAAATGCACGGGCGGGCCCCCGAAAGCAGTGAAGCCCAGATCCCACATGCGTGAGAAGACGTCCAAAAGACGCCATTCGATCTTTTGGGTATTTGCTTGCAGATGAGCTGGAGGAGGTGAAGCGCGACGGCTACGCCGCCGAAGTGAGCTTATGAGAGACTGGATTGGCATTGGTGATACTGGTTACTCGTATACGTTGTTGTGGCATAGGGAAGCTGGATTGAGATTGGAATAGCCCGACAGTTATATTCCTTCAGAGATTATTCCTGGGCACGCATGCACAGATTCGCCTACAGAAGCCAAGACACTCCAGTCGTAAAGAAGACGTGATGGACGCATATTGTCCAATCATCGTGCCCATGTGTTGCGACATTTGCGGCTTGCCTAGGTTCGTCTTCGCCAAGACATGGCGGATGCTTTGGGGAAGATGCTTAGACATGGAGGCAGGTTTAAGCGAGTACGTCACTAACTGGCTGTTATTGGTCAGCTGCGGATGTCGGGTAGAGTACCCAATGCAACAACTTGATCTCTTGTTGTTCAATGCTTGTTGTTTGGACTCGTTGGCCTGTACATTCTGCTTTTCCAAAATATCCTATATTTACATGCTCTGACACTGCCGGAGCCGGGAGCAGAAGAGTAGTGACGAGCGTAAGCATGCTTGCTTGCCAGATGTTGCAGTGCTTTAGGAAAGTGGTTCGTTCTGCCTATCGTCTTTGTTGGTTAGAAGACCGGCCTCCCTCGGTTCTTTCGCGTATCGAGGGTGGGAAGTGACTTTGACGTGCTCGTTCTCCTTTCAATGTCGAGATTGCCCTCGGTAGCAAGACAGTACTTGGCGAATGATTGCCTCAGAAGAGTCGTCCTGTACCTTGGGTTTGCACACTGGCGCAGTGGTTTAGAGAAAGAAGAGTAAATCGGTATGTCAATCGATGCCTTGGAGTGAGAGGCACGGAGTTCAACAAGTCACGTCCGTAGGTATGTTCTTTGTGGATCACTGTAACAAGATCGTAGGTCGGCAATCAATGGATTGTAGGCTTTCTCATAGCACGTACATGACTGCTCTTGTATCAGTCGCTCTGTAATCACAAAAACAAGAGAGAGGTTCGATCTGCCACCGGCGAGCAAACGACGTACACGAGCGGCGGACGTGACGCCTAGTAGTGCGGATCGTATCCTTCTAATCTGGACATATGAGAATGCGCCTAAAGGGACCGATGCCGCAATGCAACACTTCATGTGAGATGACGGACGATGATATTCCAAGTGCTGCGGGTAAGCTGATGCAAAGAGATGTGACAATTGCATACTTCGTATGCTGTAGTGTAGGAGGTTTGACCTGCGCACGCTAACACCCGCGAAGCACGGTTACCCGCCTGCAGTGGAGCTGTGGAGACGCCTGAGCTGCGCGTCGGCACATCTCCCTGTCAACATCTCTCACGACACATCACCCCACCAGGTACGACTTTCAGAATTTCTTGATTCTTTAAATACTCCTCAATGAATCCTCACATGATTCGTCGTGGTAAATCCTTAAGATTCCCGACATGTTTCAGATGACCGGTCCGATCACTGTTCAACCCTTTCATCGTAAACGCCTTCGCTCGTCGCGCGGGAGCCGTAGCTCAAACATCGATCGCATCGACCGTAACACCCTTGACCCAAGAATACTGCATAGCACGAGCGACCTCCAGGGCCGAGTCGTGGGAAGCCAAAGAACCCACCAAGTAGAGGCTGGCATCGAGCCCAGCGGTCACACCACCGGTGGTGATAACACGCATACCGCCCAGAGGCATGGAAGCACGCCTAGCGATAGACTCGCGGCGACGAGAGTCACGCCAGGCGTTGCTACCCTTGCGAGCAATCGACTTCCTACGGGCATGTCCGGTGTTGGTGCCCTCGGGAGCGCTTGGTGGCTCACGCGACTTCTTGATGATGTACCTAGGATTGTCAGCGATGCATGCCAACGCAATTCAGACTCCACTTACGGGTTGTCGTCGGGGTTCTCGCCCAAGTCGAAGCGGGCGTTGTTGACTACATAACGCTCCTCCATGACGTCCGTACGCTCGGACATGTCTCGCCTAGCTGCGTCTTGACAGATTGTCTCGAGACGAACATAGTAGTCTGGGTGGGTTGTAGCGGCAAGGCCTTCGAGCATACCTTGCTGAGCAAGAAGTAGGGCACCGACGTCGATGGCAAGGATGGTACGCTCTTTGCTGGGGCTCTTCTCTTGAAGCTCGACGTACTTGGTGAGGAGTCCGAGAGGCTCAGACTTGTTCTTGAGGACCTCAAAGACACCCTCACCACCGGGAACGATGACAACGTCAAAGTCCTCAAGCTCGTTGTTGGCGTCCTAGGATCGATGTCAGTGTGAGTTCCGAGGCTCCATACATGTAGACTCACCTCATAGTCCATGTCTGCCTTGATGGTGAGACCCTGAACGGAGGTCATGGCAGCTGCGGTGCCGACGAATTGGCAGTTGAAGGCCTTGCTGGCTGCAATGTGTCAACAAAGGATCAATTGAGTGAGCGTTTGACTGACACTTGTCCTTGGCATCCTGGAGGGAGCGACTCAGAACCTCGAGCGGACCTGCCACGTCGAGCGTGTTGTAGCCCGGGAACAGGGCAAACAGCACCTTGACCTGCTCGACAGGGCCTTCGGTGCTGTCAGCGATTGCACTCATTGTGAATGATTTGATGTAGAATGTGGATTGAGATGAATTGAGTAGGTTGTAGGAGTGAGCATGAAATTGTCGTGTGAGGAAGCAGTGGGAAGGAGCGAAGCTACCTCAGCTGAGAGGGGTAGCTACTATAGTCTCGTGAGCAACTGACGACCAACGCGTCACGGTCTGTCGAGCTCCCTCCCCCAGACATGCAACCCCGCATAGCACGGACCGTTAGTGGCTGGAAGTAGACTAGCTGGCGGGGCAGAGCGTCGATCCAACCTCTCGGTGCCCTGACCCTTGCTGGACCACCTCGATCGCATGCGTCCCTGAAACACCGATTGTAAACTGTAAGGAATCGATCTGAGGTACTGCTCTACTACACACTCAGGCGACTGCTGTATGGAACAAGTTTGCCGACATGGAGACTGGGTAGTACCTGTGTTTCCTGATTGACATGCACGGACCAATCGTTCACGCGTAAACCATCGTAGGTGAACGACTAAAGGTCACGTTGTTTTCGAGAAACACTAGCATGACAGCAATAAACATTGAGTTCGACGCGTCTTGAACGTGCCTCCTGACTTCTCGACAAGCGTCAAGAGGCTGTACGCTAGAAAGCACATGACATAAGCTGAAACTCAATTACACTGCATCTCGGGTCCACTTGACCACTGCTTCCTTTTTATGGGGTCCAGATCACTAACCCTCCTCGACCGGTAATTATGCCTCGGATGTTGCAATCAGAGCAACACATCTTCTGTCGATCATTCAATCAGCTTTGTCTGTATGTGTCTTGAATCTTGTCCCAGCCAAGAATGCGACTCTCAAGGAAGTCACAAAGGCTATAATCAAAACAGTACCCCAATCTTCACCGCGCCACGACGCAGACTGCAGTCAATCCTGTACACTAAATGCATCAAAGGCCGAGCAAATGAATGCAACATCAACGAAGAAGGTGGCAGCCTGTATGTATCTCCAGACTTTCAGGTCGTCGGTTACTCGGAGAAGGCCGCCTGAGAGAAGAGCTAGTCCCATCATTCCGCCGCCGGCTTGCTGAAAGATGAACGATAATTGGAATTGACACCTCCATTGCGAAGCTCCTTTGGGACAAGCGAACTCATAACCCATTCTTAGTCCACGAAGTCGTTATAGGCGGCATGGATAGCGACCATGGGATCAAACCTCGTGAAGAAGAAGCCATAGAAACCGGGGACCAGGCTGGTGGTCATTTCGCAGATCGAAGATTGTATTGTGGCTGGGCAAAGGCTGAGATTCTCAGTTGTAAAGAAATCTGAACACCGACGGATTGTCAATTTAGACGGGTCGCGCAATGTATATCAGAGGTGGAGAAGATACTTATGCAGGCTGGACCACTTTCCCGCTGAGATATTTCAGGGCGTAATAAAACTAAGGCACCAACTGCGCTGAAGAAGCCAAGCCTGATTATACAAAGCAACATTTAGAAGACAGAGGATTGGATTGGCTTATTTGCAGCGTGCTGACAGCAGATATCCTTACAACGAAGCGCCGCGAGCTACGTGAATCAGACGACCAGAACGCGAGGAAGGGAAAACAGAAGACATGATAATCCACTCGCAAGTATGGCGTTAGTGATGAGAAGAGCCAGAAATTTAATACAAGTGTGACGATCGAGTTTCTAGGTTGTTCCTTAATCCTGCTATCTCGTGTATAGGAAGTTCTAGATCTGAATACGACATGTTGAAACTCGTTCGACTGAGTAAGGCGAAAATAGGTCGAGAGTGTTGCACCGCTGTGGTAGGGAGAGAACTGCATCTTGAGGAGGGCGTTCAAGGCGGACGGAAGCTAGATCGGTAATGCGCACGGAGCACGCGTGGTAGCGCGACATGGCCCGAAGTGACAGCAACGAACACGTCTACCGCATCATGGCGGCATCGAATGACAATGACGCGCCGCTGGCGGACGAGATAAAGCAGACGGTCTCTCTGTCTTCTTCGACGCCGATTGCTGCCGCAAAATCACCCAAGCAGCCTCCTTCAGAGACGAAAGAGAGCTTATGGCTGCGACGCCTATCCATCTTCTCCTTTTGGGCTGTAGTCGTATTTCTGGGCCTTCCAATATGGCTGAAGACAACGGCCATTTACAGGGCGGACCTGCCGCTACAGGAGATGACGGACTGGGCTGAGGGCAAGGTAAGAAATAGCACAAGCTGGGCACCCTGGCTGTAACATGGGCTAACACCATAGCAGGTCTGTAAGCCAGTCTTCCCTCTGCGGATAGCAGTCGAAGCCCCGATGCCTTCTGCGGATGCGCAACACCTGCTTCGCACCACACAGCACGCCCTCGATGATATCAACGACTTTTCCGCGCACCATCTCCGATTGATGCTCGCCGACTCTCCACTACAACCGAACGTCTCGCAACAAGTCATTAGTGACGGAACAAGCATTCATAGCGATGACAAGGACGTCGCTTTGGTTGTGCGACTGATACCGGTCGAAACGGGCGCCACGCCTCGGTCGCACCTCCAGCCATATTCCCCAACCTTAGACGTATACTACTCTCCGAACCAGATCCCTTCGCAGTCGTCTACTGGCTCCAGCCTGGCCACGTTCCTCGCCCAGGAACTACACAACATATTCGCTGAGGAGCAGGCACAGCTGGCGCATGTCTTGTCGGCTACGTCCGGCGCGCATGCTGCCAAGGTCAAGACGCTCTCTCCAGAGATGTCCGCAGAGCTCCAACGCCAGTCTACTCGCGCTCTGAAGTATGCTCCAACATACCACCTGACTTTCTCCCTATTCAGCCCTTCGTACGCCCCTTCTCAGTGGGACATTGAAACTGCACTTCAAACTTACATGAGCCCTCTTCTAGACGCCTTCTCCGCCATCAGCAACTTCACCGTTGACACACAAGTACAGCTCTACGCGACCTTTGCTCCTTCTGTTCGCCAGCCAGAATATGATGAAAGCACAAAGGCATGGACGCTTCGCAAGGAGGATCTCAGTGGTTTCGTCAACGCTGCCGAGTGGCCTCTCAGTCCCAGCATCGGCGAGGGACCCACGGTCAACTTTATTTTGTATGTACCAGATCACTCACAGTCACCTCTGTTGGTCAGGGAGAACGCTGGGAACAGCTGGTTGATCCCGCAATGGGGTGGCGTACATATTCTCAACTTGGAGGGCGAAGCAAACACCCCGCCTGCTTTGACTGAGGAGATGCTTGCTCCAGCAATGCACACGTTCTCAAATCAACTCATCTCGCTGTTTGGCTTGCCTCAGAGCCCGGCTTCGTTGCCTCTTCGCATTTCGACCCTCGAACGCGTCCGAGCTGCATCACTCATCTTCTCAGCTTCTTCTACTTTGGGCGCTCTAGCTCAAGTGTACCAGAAGCTTCCTTCTATCCCAGTCCCGGATAACGTTGCCCATTCTACGCAGGAGACTATCGTACACTTACAACAAGCTTGCGACTACCTTCGAGATGGTCGTTTCCCCAGTGCTCTAGAACACGCCCGCGCTGCAGAGGTGGAGGCTGAGAAAGCTTTCTTCGAACGTTCCATGGTCGGTCAGGTCTATTTTCCCGATGAGCACAAGGTCGCTGTGTACCTACCCTTACTAGGTCCTGTTGCTGTTCCTCTAGTCATGGCTGCTCTGAAAGAGCTGAAGTCAGCACTAAAGCGAGGCTGAACGCCCCGTCAGATTGCCAAGTTTCAATGTGCTCTGGTGTTCATACAGACACTCGTCTACATCTCCGGGTTCTGGCTATATCGAATCACCAGCGAGCGTTGAACACATGAAGTGGAGAGTGTATAAGCTGCTAGCCAATACTATCCACAAGGAGCAAGATAAGAGCTGGCTCGGAAGTCTTATCATGTGATAAAACGGTAGACGCGTATCCTTGGCGCACTATTCTCCGCCTCGCATTCGCACTACTCTATAAACAACGGACTTGATACCCCGCTGCGGGGTAGCGCGGTCGAGCGAGAGTCGTCCGCCATGACTGCACAAACGACTGATAGGTCCAATATCAATAACACAGCGTTCTAAGTCTTCGCTCTTCTCGGTCATCCGTGCTTATCACCTGTCATTGGTCTCTCGCATGACCCTTGGCATTCTTCTCGCACAATGAGTTGCGCACTTTATCCACTCTTGTCTTGATGCAGCGTAGCATGCCCGATACAGGAAATGGGACATTATTACCCTCGGTACATAGTACAATCTGCTATAAGAGAAACACGAACCATGTCTATACTTCTCTGTACTCAACTTCTCACATCACCATTTGAACACAACTCCATTCTATCATGCCTCTTTCCACCAAGGCTGTCGAAGGTATCAAGGGCACATTAGACCATTTTGTCAATGATGGTTCACCTGGTCTTGCCTTCCACGCCATCGACAAATCGGGCAAAACACTTGTCGAACATGCTTCGGGTACACTGGGTTTGGACTCCAGTGAGCCCATAGACACTCAGAGTACGATATTCTGGATTGCATCGTGTACCAAACTCGTCACTGCCATTGCTCTGCTGCAGCTTGTTGAGCAAGGCAAGGTTCCCTTGGATGATGCTGAATTCGTCAAGAAAACCGTGCCGGAACTATCTGAAAAGAAGGTGTATGCCGATGGTGTTAACGGCGTCGAGCAAGAGAAGAGTGTCACGATGCGCATGCTGTTGAGCCATACAGCAGGATTTGGATATGCATTCGCTGACCCGAGGCTCCAAGCGGACGGCATCGAAGGGAGGAGCGGCAACAAGCGCGATATCCTTGACTCGAAGATGGTGAACCAGCCAGGTAGCATGTGGGAATACGGCATTAATATGGACTGGGCAGGTATCGTTCTCGAACGCGTCACTGGTCAAACGCTGGGCGAATACTTCCAAGAGCACATCTTCACGCCCGTGGGCATCGCCGCAGAGGGCGCATCCATGTTTCCTTCCAAAGAAGCTCAAAAGAACCTAGCACATATGCACCAACGTGACACCGACGGCACGCTCAAGAAACGCGAACATCTTTACGACGGTCCACTTTCCTGCGCTAAGGAAAACCAAAAAGACTTTCTCCAATCTGGTGGTGCAGGACTTTGGTCGAGGCCAAGCGAGTACATAAAAGTTCTTGCTGCTCTATTGAACGATGGAACAAACCCACAAACACAGAACCGCATCCTCAAGAAAGAGTCAGTGGATCTCATGTGGGAGAACCAAATTCCCTCTCAACCCGATTTCGCACGCGCCAATGTCCCACCTGCAGACCCTTCGCTGGTCAATCAAGCCGCGGATATGTATCCTCAGCCTGGCAACCCTCCTCAAGGTTGGGGCTTTGGCGGCTTCATCACTATCGAGGCTGGCCCGTCTGGTCGTGGAGCAAACACGCTGTGGTGGATGGGTCTGTGTAATTGTTTCTGGTGGGTTGATAGAGAGAAGGGGATTGCGGGAATGCTCGCATCGCAAGTGTTGCCCAATGGAGATCCCAAAGTCATTCCTGCGTGGTTCATGGCGGAGAAGGGCATTTATGACGCGTTGGAATAACGATTCACCCCAGGTATGAGTGCTATATTGGTAGTTTAATGGTACGTCAAATATCACAGATGTCAGACGAAAGTCATTGGTCCATGGCTATGTGAATGAAAGCAACAGCACTAAACTTTAGCTTTATCCTACATTCACATGTAGTCACCGATCATTTCGAGTGGGCGCGTTTGGCTCTGCGATCGAAGCTGATCGTATAAGGCAAATGGTCCGCAATCTGCGGGCGAAATATAGAGATTATACCTCTTCTGCGAAACTTGAATGACAACGCCTCCAACGATCTCGCTGACTACCAATCACCTCAACCCCCAGCATCACCCACAAGACAGCAGGTTCAAGCCATCGTTCTCGAACAAAGCACAATGATCATCTTCCGGCTCATCTCCATGGCCTTGCGCTTTGCGCAATTTGTCTGTGCAGCCGTCGTACTCGCTGTATCATCTTACCTCCTGTATCACCAACAGCACAAGGACCATAGCGGCTCGTACGGCCGCCTCATCTACAGCGTTATCATAGCCATTGTATCGACCATCGTATCGCTGATCTGGCTTCTTCCCACTACTTCGCATATTGTGAATATAGTTGGCGATGTTCTCTTCTGCAGCGCATGGTGCGCTGTGTTTGGTTTACTGCAAGATTGGTACACGAGTGCTATGTCTTGTGGCAGTACCTGGGCTTGGAATGAGATGGGTTTGCGGAATGGATCATGCAGCAGATGGAATGCTGCGCAGGCTTTTTGTTTCTTGAATGTGGTGTTTTGGTTTGCGAGTTTGGCCTTGGGAATGCTGACTTGGAAGAAGACTGCCCAGGTGGTGGCACACGGCGCGGTGGGGTCTAGATAGACAGAGGATGGACGATCGTCTTGCGACATGCTGATAGAATTGATCATGCTGGCTAATAGCTCTTGTGTGGTTGCTACTGCAGCAAAAATCTGACATGATAATTGGATGGAGCACCTCTGAACAGTTCGAAGTCTCTAGGCTGGCATTGGAAGCGACGCCCTCGCTGTACGCTAGGCCTAGTGAAATGAGGATCATCAGTAGCGTTTGCCGCCTTATCCACAGCTGCTTTATGTCAGTTCCAATGGCACAAAATCTAAGGCTTTCGAGGCCTCCTACATTTCTCATGTCTAGAACATATATTTTCCTGGCCATCAGGCGTCCAAGGAGCCGTGACCATGTGGGTTCATTGTTCCTGCTAGGCATCTAACTACCCGATCCGGCAAACTTTCCTTTTTTTGCATAGGAAACGGGTTTTTGCATGGCACTTTCCAGGTGCTTGTTCATCGGCCTCGATGGTAGCCTAGCACGTGTTGTGCGGCTAAGATACCGCACAGGCAGCTCACTGTCTACGCGTAAGGCCACCAACTCTGAGTACATGTTTCTCACTTGTATAAAGCGATTCCGTATTCCACACTTCTGGACGCATCCTACTCGTCCTCCTATTAGTTCAGAGCAAATCTTACAACCATCAATTACACATCATGGTAGCTTCATTCACTCTTGGCCTCGCCCTGCTTCCGCTGCTTATCGGAGCATACGAAACCGACCCTCCGACTACCGCATCTCCAGATACCATCTCGGACTGCACATGGTGGCAGGTCGCTACAGAGACTGACACATGTGCGGGTATAAGTGAATACTGGGGCATCACAGAAGTGCAGTTCAAGACATACGTACGACTTAAATGCAGCAAGACGCACTCCTCTCATACTAACTCGTCGAACAGAACCCAAGTCTAGTAGATGGCTGCAACCTCGTTTCGGGAAATTCTTACTGTATCGAACAAAACTATGGTATAGTCCCAACGCCATCTGCGACTAGTAGCTCCGTAACGAGCGCTAGCCAGACACCCACACCCACTCCAACGACACCGCTGGAGATTTGTGAGGCTGAAGCTGGTGGCTACAAGAGATACTGTCCTCGTTGTTTGTCCCGCTGTGAGAACGAGACGAAGTACATGGATCAGTGTTTCTACAGTACGTTTTTGGCTATCAATAGCTGGGACAGTCAGTGTTGGCAGCATGGAGGCAGCGACTGTGCCAATAGGGCGGTTGATGAATACTGTCCAGACCAGTAGGCTATTTCGCGATAAGGCAGCGGCTTGAAGAAATGGGAAAGAGCTTGGGAAAACGTGAAATAAGATGAAGCTATGGAATCGAGGAAAGAGAGATTTCGATTTGAGGGGAAATGGTGCATCTTTATGAAGTATTGCGTAGCTTCAGTCGCGTCTACCAGGTTTCGCATTTCTATACACGAGCGGTGTGGTGCGCTTGTACATACAATGGTAGGGCGAAAGCGTTTTACAAGATCATATAGATGAAATTCCTGATCTAGCGGCGGCTGAGAACGGATGAGTTTTACGAGGCGTTATAGTCCAATCTGGTGAAGGAGTTGACAACGATCGTAACGCCATAGCGTTCGGGGTGAATGATTTACCCTCTACTTCCCTTCTCAACACCAGGTTTAGCTTCACGAACACTCAATTCTTCCAGCATCATCACCGAGTGCCGATGATTTCCGCTAGTACGTACTAGCACCATGACGTAACCACCAGACACAAGCTCCCCAAGCCTCTCCCTCCTTATGCGAACGGAAATATACTCGACACCACCTCGCCTAAAAGCAATGCTTGTACCTGGGTAGCAGCCGATATTAGAGTATCGATACGCGATGCTCTTCCCCGCAATCGAAACAATCACCCGATGCGAAATCTTGCGTTTCGCTCCCGAAGATCTCATCCGGTGACCAGCTAGCGAGCTTAACCACCGGCCAAGACTGTTTCCATCCACAACGTATTAAGATGAAGCACTCACGCCCAATTAGCGCACGTTTGCCTAGCAGAAAATGGTTTGTGTTTTCACACAAAACATCTTGATCCCGGGCCTATATGAAGGGTTCTGCCAGATTCAGGCGTCATCTCAGACGAAAAAGGACCGATCGAATATACGCATGGAGAGTTCATTGGTAGTCGGTGCGATGATTTTATCCCTTCGCAATCAAAACGGTTGCAAATTCAAAAGAGTGTGCTGTCACCAGCTAAGACAAAATGAAGAAAGATGCGATGGGCTTATTAGCATACTCAAAACAGGAGCGTTCTCGACTATATAAGTTGCTCTGTACTTGACTCAGTTATCCGCATCACTCCTCAGATCAGCTCGCAAATACCTTGATTGTATCGCATCTCGAACAGTATGAAGTACACATTGAGTCTCGCCATTGTGGCGCTTACTTTGGACACCGCCGTCGCATCTCCACTCAACATAGAGGCCCGACAGCAAGGTAGCGGAGCAGGCCCATACGCACCCGGCACATACAAGACCGACAACTCTCTCCAGGGCCACACAATCTACTACCCGACCAAGAACACCGGTTCCGAAAAGCTTCCTGTTCTCGTCTGGGGCAACGGAGCATGTAGCACTGACGGCCGCTCTAACTCCGCTCTCTTGCAGAACATTGCCAGCTATGGCTTCCTGGCTATCGCTGAGGGCGGTCCCAATGGTGGAGGTTCTTCAAATGCGCAGACCATGAAGCAAGCTATTGACTGGGTCACCAACAACGCTGGAAAGGGCGCGTACGCTAATGTCGATGCGAGCAAGATTATGGCGGCAGGATTCTCGTGTGGTGGTGTTGAGGCTATCGACAACATCTGGGATAGTCGCGTTGACACAATCGGAGTGATCAGTTCAGGTCTGCTTTCAAACACCAGCGCAGCTAGAGACTGGAGGAAGCCCGTACTTTTTGTACTGGGTGGTCAGGGCGACATTGCATTCCAGAACGTGAGTTTTGCCATACTCACCCTCTCTTCGTTCCTGGCATGTAGACTAACACGAGATAAAGGGCGAACGCGACTTCAAAAATCTTGCGCAGGGTGTTCCATCATGGAAGGGTAACATTCCTGTTGGCCATGGTGGTACACTAGGTGACGCAAACGGCGGCCGATTTGGCAAAGCCATTCTCAACTGGATGTTGTGGACTATGAAGGGAAATACGCAGGCGGCATCTTACTTTACTAGCGGCTACCAGGCTGATGGCTATCAAGTTGAAACTCATGATTTGAACCTGTTAAAGCCATTCTGAGGATCTGGACGTTAGAGGAGGAACGCTCTGAACATAGTCACAGAGTATGTCGGAGTAGAAATGACAGACGATTTCGATAAATGAAGACAATCGTAGCTATGTACATTACCACTATCGTGCTAAAAGTCTTATCCGAAAGCTATGAGATCTTGAACTTTGAAGTCCGCCCCTACACTCCACTAACCACTCTGCGTTAAAGCTCCCGTCGACATCCACCCCACCATACATCCCCCACTTCGTCATCATCCTCACAGCACCTACAACACAACCCATAGTCCAATCTCTTCAATCTCACAACTATCAGCCATCTGTCCCGAAATGTCCACAACAATAGGTATTCTCTCAATCGGCCAAATGGGCCTAGGCATCGCCCAACTTCTCAAAGCACATCACTACCGCGTGATCACGAACATCAGTGCTCGCAGCGACGCAACCAAATCCCGTGCCGAGTCTGCTGGAATTGAGCTGTTTGATACAGACGAAGACTTAGTCCGCAGTTGCGACTATATCCTTAGTATCGTGCCACCCCGCGACGCCATTGCAACAGCGAAACGCGTGGAAGTCGCACTAGCAAACGGACGTGACAGAGGAGGAAAACTACTTTACTACCTGGATTTAAACGCTATTAGCCCCTCCACAGTGAAAACAATGGCAAGATCATTCGAGCAGAATGCGCCGGGCTTGCGGTTCGTCGACGGAGGTATCATTGGCGGGCCACCATCGCCATCAGAAACAGAAACAAATGGGTGGAAAAGACCTGGTGTTCCCTTATCAGGTCCGCATCCTCTTCATTCAGCACCAGTATCCGGTACGCATTTGGCAGAAGTGCTGAATACACGCTATCTTGGCGCAGAAATCGGTACAGCATCAGGCCTGAAATGCTGTTTCGCGGCGCTGTCGAAAGGTTTCACGGCGTTGGCTTTGCAATCTTTTACCACCGCGTCGTCCCTTGGGGTGCTGAACCCGCTACTCGAGTACATGGACGTATACAACATTGGTGCGAGGCAGAAGGCGGAGAGGAGTGTTGTGGGATGCACGGGGAAAGCGTATCGTTGGGTGGAGGAGATGAATCAGATTGGAGCGTGTTTTGAAGAGGAAGGTGGGTGGAAGGGCGACGCGAAAGTCTTCAGGGAGATTGCAAGTGTGTTTCAGGGGTTGGCTGATGTTGTGGAAAGGGAGGGGAAGGACGAGATGGGAGATGTGGAGGGTGTTGTTGGCGTATTAGGTGAGGGGCTGAGGAAAGAGCAAACATAGTGGCAGCAGTATGCAGTTGTATACTTTTGTATAAGAACGTACTTTCCAACTTAGCTTGTAACAAAAAGTATGATCGAAATCAGAGTTCATTACCCCAGCGCCGCGCTAGCCAAACGACCCGTAGCCATATCAGTCTGATCTCATTAAGCTCTCCGAGCATTACGGCCTTCTCCACCAAAAGCTAGCGTGCGTCCCATATCCCTCACAGTGCTCGCTCCTCCTGCGCTGCTACCACTAACGCCTCTCTTATGCCCACCCTCCATACTGCTCCTTCCCTCAACCAACGCCCTCCGTCCATCAACACCCTGCCCAACGAGTCTGCCACTAAACTGATGCCAGCAGTTAGGCGCCTGGAGAATGTACTTCTCCATAGCAATCCTGAACCTATTACGATAATCACGAGGTGACGTGATGGTAGGCTTGTTCTTGCCGCGGTCCTTGATCCAGCTCTCCAGCTTTTTGTCCCAAGTATAAGTACGGATACAATCAATAATGCCCACGATGATCTCGCGTTGGGTGTCGTCGAAGCCTGCCATGAGAGAGTAATCCATAACGTTGTTTTGCGATAGGAAGAGCGTGTCGTTGAAGACGCTGGCTTTAAGTAGTTTCTTGGTGTGCTCACGGACGAAAATAGGTGTCTCAGAATATATGATGTCGACAAGATTCTCATCAAGAAGAACTTCGTCGCGTTCGCCTGTGGCTTGGATTTTGCGGTTGCGCATGCTACCCTTCAAATCGTAACGGCGGTTGGGTTCACGGTCGTAGAACAGATTCTCCATGACCAACATGTACCAATCAAAGTCTCGACCTGTGGGTGTCTTGATCTGGACTTGGAAAAGACCGAACATCTTGGCGATAACACTAGGCAATGACTTGAAGAGGTTCTGATGCGTGAAAGCAAAGTAGTTGGGGCCAAACTTGAAGAAGGCTTGCACTTCAACTGGAGAGAGTGACTTGAGGACGAAGCGGTCGTCGAGCGTCTTCAGAAAGATCGACTTGGATTTCCCGCCCTTGGAGTCCCACTTCGAACAGCGGGATAGAGACTCAACAAAACGTTCTGCTACACCGCATTTGCGGCGAAGGGCATCAAAGGACTGGGCATAGAATATCTTGCAGTGCGCTTTGACTCCGCGATTTGTGAAACTGTAGCGGATGTTGTGGTTTTCCTCATGTAGAAGATTACGTTCGACTGATTCTTCGAACGTCTCCATCACACCATTGCCCGCTAGGTTGTCATCGCGAAAATTCTGCCGCTTAGCAACGTAATCTGGACACGACAGCGCCAATGCGATGATGGAGCTAGGCTCGTCTTCTCGAATAATGATATCGGAGTTCTCCCAAACATGTTCAATCTGCGAGAAAGGATACTCAAGTGGTGTCCATCCACTTGCTGAGCGCTCGGACCAGAAGCTGGTAAGAATTTTGAGAAGGGTGTTCTTCTCGTGTTTGGGCAGCTCAAGGGAATTCTCTAGCTGCGAGTCACTCAAATCCAAAAGCTTGGAACCCGAAAGACTTTCTGGCAGAGGGATGTCTTCGGGTGTAATCTCTGTATCACTAATGTCGTTCTCTGTATCTGACGGAAAGTGACTTGGAGACTTGGGTGACTCGTCACTGCTTGGAAGTTGAGCCATAGCGTCCTGGGGATGACGCTCTTCGACTGGCGACTGCGAGGCCGTTGTTGTATCGTCCGTACGCTCCGTAAGGGTGCTATCACCAAGTGTGCTATTGTCTAGGCTTGCCCGTGGA